GGTGGAGGCAGTGTGGGGGGTAAATAGTGTTGGAGACTTGACTTGGGGTGGTGAACATACAGCACAGTGTACAGATGATGTGTTGTAGAATTCTGTACCTTCCTGAAACCTGTATAATTTTGTTAACCAGTGTCACCCCAATCAATTCAATAGAAAGGAAAAAAAATTTGAAAAACACAATACGCTGTGACTTAGTTATAATAAAGGAAACAATGAAAGACTATGAAGGGCTTCACAGGAATCTAGGCCACGAAGCATAAGTGAAAGTCTGCCAGACAGAGAGTGGGGTGGGGCATCCTGGGCGCAGGGACAGTGGAAGAGAGTAGAGGATGCACATTTAGGGGCCTCGGCTGGGAAATTTGCTATGGCACATTGGGACATATAGGGGAAAGTCAAACCACCAACATGGGTTGGAGGCAGAAGTAGGAATTTAATTCTATAGGAATGAGAGACAAGGGTGGTTTTAATTAGGTGAGTCATGTGACCATCTTTGCTTTTGCTGCAAGATAATTAGCCAGGCAAAGAGCAGAGAGTGGAGGGCGGACATCCAATGGCCCAGAGCAAGATCCCAAAGGTGGCGGTGGACCCTGCGCCATCAGGACAGTGGGTGAGCTTCCTGCCTCCAGCTCCTCTGTTCTAGGGGACACCCTCTTTCATTGTGTGACCTGTTCTCTCTGAAACTCTCTCCATGCATTGCCTATAGCAACCAGAACATTTCATTCCACAGAAATGATAATCCATTTCTGCTCAAAAATGGAAGAAATGAAGTGACCGCATTGTAGGCAATGTGAGGCGGTAGCAGTGTTTCGCTTTTCTGTGTATCCCCCAAACACAGCACAGCACCTGGGCTGGAGGAGGGTCTCAGGAGGCCTTTGCTGAACAAGATAGACTCCAAAAGCAATTGGAAGGGTATATTAGTTTCCTCTGGCTGCTCTAGCAAGTTTCCACAAACGGGGTAGCTTAAAACAACAGAAATGTGTTTTCTCGCCGTTATGGAAGCTGGAATTCTGAAATTGAGGTGTCAGCAGGGCCATGCTCCCTCCAAAGGCTCTAGGGGAGGCTTCTTTAAGTCCCCTTCCAGTTACCGGTGGTTGCCAGCGATCCTTGGTGTACTTGGCTTATAGATGCATCACTGGTTCTATGTGGCCTCACTGTGGATCAGGCCATGCTGAGTCCTCCTGAATCACCTTGTTGACCACTGGAACCACCAAGTGATGCTCCTTCAGAGCTTGTCCTGGCCAGTGAGTGTGCTGGGTGGCAGGTCTTCAGCATCCAGAAAATTAACTCTGGCAGTCCCGTGGGTTCACCTTTGTGCCTTTCCACTTGACACACCATTTGCCTCCCTTCCTGTCAGCTGTGGAGCACTCATGGGTGCAGGACCTTGCCATGAGAAAAAAGGTATTTGCAAATCATACATCTGAAGAGGAATTTGTATATAGAACATATGAGGAATTGTTATAACTTAATAAAAAGACAAACATTTAAGTAAAAAAAAAGGACAAAGGATGGGAATAGATATTTTTCCAGCAAAGATAGACAAATGGCCAATAGACACATGGAAAGATGCTTAATGTCATTGGTCATTAGGGAAATGCAAATGAAAACCACAATGAGATAGCACATCACGCTCACCAGGATGGCCATAATTAAAAAAATAACAAGTGTTGGTGACGATGTGGAAACCCTGGAAGCCTTCTGGTAAAAACCCAAAATGGTGCAGCCAATTTGGAAACCAGTCTGACAGCTCCTCAAAAGTTTAATGTAGAGCTACCATGAGATTCAACAATTCCATTCCAGGTATATTCCCATGAGAAATGAAAACATATGTCCACAAAAACTCATCCATGAATGATCAGAGCAGCAATATTCATAATATCCAAAAAGGTGGGGGGTGGGGGTGGGGACAAATGCCCATCAACTAGTAAGTAGATAAGTAAAATGTAGGAGATGTGTACAATGGAATATTATTTGGAAATAAAAAGAATACTGATTCATGCTAGAACCTTGAAAACATTATTCTGTGTGAAAGAAGCCAAAGACCACATATTGTCTGAGTCCGTTTTTATGGTATACCCAGAAGAGGCAAATCTGCAGAGACAGAACGGCGTTGGGTGGTTGCCCCGGGCGCTGGTGGGAGGAAATGGGAGTGACAGCTGATGGACTAATGGGTATGGAGTTTCTTTTTGGGGTGACAAAAATGTTCCAAAATTGCTTGTGGTGATGGCTGCCGAATTCCATGAACATGCTCACTGGGAGAACTGTATGGTATGTGAATTAAATCTCGATAAAGCTGTTACAGTTTTAAAGAGTCAATATGCTCAGTATAGTTAAAAGCTAATTTCCTTCCTTCCTTCCTTCCTTCCTTCCTTCCTTCCTTCCTTCCTTCCTTCCTTCCTTCCTTCCTTCCTTCCTTCCTTCCTTCCTTCCTTCTTTCCCTCCTTCCCTCCTTTCCTCCTTCCTTCTTTCTGTCAAATTTATAAGCCTGGGAGGGAATATGTCTAGTTTATGGAATGAAGTGTAATTTCCAGTTGGGTGATAAGAAAAGGTAGCAAGCCAAAAGTGAAAATTTTATTTAATTTGAGGAACTTTAGACAGAGAATATCTGAGGTGTAAGCAAGTCTTTTTAACGACATTTATTCTTTTTTTTTCATTCAACACATGTTTATGGGACACTTATTAAACATTTGAGGCACTGTGCTGGGTGCTGTTTTATGATTTCAAAGCAACATAGAAGTGTATTTTTATCACATGAACCCGAAACCGAGTTTCCCGTTTAGAACCAGCCTGCCAAGGCTGCGCCCTCCTTCCTTCCCGCAGGTAGTTTATGCGCTGACTTTGGTCTGTCGTAGATTGCTTAAAAAGGGTAAACACACAATCACATTTGGAGGTCCCTTGATATTTACAGAAATGCAAACCACTCAGAAAATTCATAAAATAGCCGTGTGTCTTAAACAACGAGCTTGTCTGATAGCACCGCTGGGAATCCTAGACCCGCAGGAGCGGGGAGTGGAGAGCCCAGGTGCCTGCTCAGACGGTTCATCTGAGTTACTACATGAGAAGAAAGGAGGAAATGGCACACAGGCGAACAAATGAAGGCAAGATTTTCCTTATCTTCAGAAAAAAATATAGTTTGGATTTTTTTTTAAGAAGTAAGGTCTTCTATGTATAGAATCATCCAAGAATAATATGTTTACAATTTGTGTGGCCTTGATTGTGTTATGTTAATGAAGCTATTATTCAAATAGGAAATCAAACTTTTCCACCGTGGAGGCCCGCTTGGCTGAGTGTTTGGGACCCAAAGGGGCCGCTATTGAAACAGCAAGAAGAGAGCCAAGGCCAGAGCCAAAGCGCCGGGCGGCGCCGACGGGGCAGAGCCGGCCGGGCCCTTCAGCATGCACATCACCCGGGACCACGACCCGTTGTTGGGCAGTGGCGCGATGCCCGCCACACAGCACATGACGTTGTAGACATCCACGGATCGAATCGGAGCGGCTCTGAAGTCGGATTTGAAATCTGAAAGGGAAAGGCAAGCAAACAAGTTGTCACAGCCAGTCCCCAGGCGGAGAGGGGCGAGTCCTAGGGTCGAGGGGTTACGCTCAGGCCCCAGGCCTGGAAAATCAGCTCTGTCCATGCGGCGTGGCCAAGTGGCTGTGAACTTGGCAGCGTATGTAGAAAGCTACTGGTTGTGAAAGGAAGTAACTTTCTATGGCTCATGGAGATAAGTTCCTTTAAGGGACAAATCAGTGCACAGACTGACCTAGAGTGTGACTGTGCTTGGAACACTGGAGCTTTGTCTTCCCGGGGGAGGAGAGGGCCACGTGCAGCTGCTCGTTTCTGCAGAGCATGGGGTGCAGGTGTGGGCACAGAAGTTCAGCTGTCCTACTGGGCTCTCCAAACCAAGGTAAAGGGTGTTCTTATCTGTCAGAACACCTGCCTCGCAGGGACTGGTTGGCCAGGGTGCCAGTCAACTGCAGAGACACTATGGCATCTCAAGAACGTTTTCCCACTTCCCTGGCACTCGGAGGGCCCAGGGCTGGATGGAATGTGCACTGCACAGGCTCCCCGGAGCTGCTAACTCAGAGCAGCACAGGCGGCTTCCTGAGTACGTTTGGGAGACCATTTGACCCTTTCTTGGGAGTCTTTCACTGGCAGATAAAAGAACTTGGCCTTGTGGGGGAAAGTGAACTGGCCTTGGGGTTACAGAGCCAGGGAAAGTCTGGGAGTTCTGATGGAGAGGAGAGATGTGCTTCCAGAAACCCAGAAGCTGCCTGACTCCAGCAGTGATGTGGAGTGTAATGGGCTGGCCATTCACGGCATCGGGCAGCAGGAGGGATTTCAGTCCAGAGTGCACCTTCTCTTGCCCCACGGGGTCAAATAAGAAGCTGACTGCCAAGTGTTTGTCTGTTTAAGGGCAAATGGAAGAGTTTGGTAACAATGTCCACAAAGCAGCTTCAGTTTTAGGCCCCAAACTGAGCTTCCAACAAAATACCCACAGCTACCCTGAGGTTGAATTGACAGGGAGATTTTTATCTACCAGTAAAGCCTGTGCGTGGCCTCTCAGTCTAAGAGTTTTTAAGGAAATGGGTAGCTGGGGGGCTGTAACCTTTATCATTGCTTTGCTAAAATGGGCACAGATGCTTGATTTAAAAAAGCAAACAGACACAACAGCAACATCATCCAGCAGTTCCAGCCCCACATCCTGCTCTGTGTCAACCCTGAGGTTACAAATGCGGAAGAGAGTTACATACAGAAAACTGCCACAGAGCGCGTTAGATCCAGGGCACGTGTAAGCTAGACAACCAGCTTGCAACCACTTACCAGCTGGGCAACCTCGGGAAACGGGCAGGGACATGGTACCTCATGTGGCTCCAGGCACATTGTATGTGCTCAATAAACGGTAGCTAGTGTTATTAACATGCATGCAGAATAGATGCCCAGCAAGGGCAAATGATGAATAGAAAATAGTCTATAAACTCTCTAGAGGGCTCACTTCACTTTGGGGCAGGGAGGAAAAGGGTCAGCATCACCTCAGGGTAAAAACAGGTTTTTTTAAAAAAAATCCAGAACCTCCCAGGAGAGGAGAATGTAAGGGCTGCCCGGATGCCACCCCTTCTTACTGTCGAGGCAAATTGTACACTTAGGTGAAGATGTGGCTGTACTTCCCCAGAGAGGAGTCAGCTGCAGCCTGAGAAGTCAATGGAGAGGTTGCCCCAGTGATGGGAAAGCAAGTCCTCTGCCTCCTCTGACCTGCTGAGTGAACTTGGATGTGGTGATCACGCTGCCCCATCACATGGTGGCCATGCCCTTGTCACGTGTGTGCGGGGGGGGAGGTGGTAGACAGCAGTAAATCCAAAGTGGGCCTTTCAAACACCCACTTCTCGCCTGGCCAGTGTGACTCAGTGGTTGAGCCTTGACCCAGGAACCAAGAGGTGCACGTGCCCGGGTTGCGGGCTCCATCCCCAGTAGGGCTCATGCAGGAAACAGCCGANTGATCCCCAGTAGGGCGCATGCGGGAAACAGCCGACCGACGCTTCTATCTCTCTTTCCCTCTCCCTTCCTCTCTCTCTCAAATCAATAAAAACATTTTTTTAAAAAGTGTCCACTTCTTTAACACTTGGCAAAAATATTGAGATAAGCTCTGCAGGCGGAAGTGTTGGAGAAGAGCATCTTTTTACATTCAAAGTATAAAATCAAGTACTGTGCACATAAGCAGGAGGGAGAACTGGGCTTTCTTTCCCATTCTATCTGGTTCAGGGCTTCCTATTCTGCAGGGCTGGGACTTTGAGCCCAATGCAGACACGATCCAGGCTAGAATGAGAGCTTCTAGAAACTTCCTGAAGAGCAAAACAAGATCTGATCCAGTTTGGGAAGACTCCCCCAAACCCGGCTAGCTCAAGCCGGCATTTCTTTTTTTTTTTTTTTTAATATATCTTTACTGATTTCAGAGAGAGGAAAGGAGAGGGAGAGAGAGAGATAGAAACATCAATGATGAGAGGGTCATTGATCGGGCCCACAACCAGGCACATGCCCTGACCGGGAATCGAACCCCGATCGCCTAGATCCTAGGTCGACGCTCAACTGCTGAGCCACGCCCGGCCGGGCATCAAGCCGGCATTTCAAACCTGGTTCAGGAACCTAAGCTATTCCAATGGCTTTAAATTCTGTGGCTATAAAGACTGTTTCTCTCGGAGTAAGCAGATTCTGCAGGCTCCAGTGGTGCCTGCCACCTTGGGCCACCCGCTCGGAGTGAGCCTCGCTGGCTCGCACACGGCCCGCTGAATGACAGTCTTGCTGTCTTATCAGGAATTGGAGTTCTCCGGGGCCAGATTAGGTTGTTCATATCAGAAACTGGGATTAACCAGAGAGAGGTTGTCTTCCAGAATGATTTCCCTTCCTCTCAGCTGGACCAGACTCCCTGGCTTCTAAACTGTTTGCGGGCAGCTGCGACCATGCCCGGCCACCCCCGCAAGCGGGAGGCGCATACAATTAATCAGGAGGGATGTTCCTTTATCTCAAAGTGCAGCTAGATAGCTATTAACGGCCTTGCTCTTAAATTGTCTTCCAAGTAAACAGCCCGTGTGTAAAGCTGTTCAATCTTTCATGAGAATTGGAGCTGGAGCCGCGACGGTTGGCGGGAGGCTCTCAGGGCCGTATCTGTCTGGGAACATTTTTGCAATTAGCCAAGTCCGTTTTCATCGAGGGTCATCCTTCTGTCTATAAAAGACTCGACTCGGGCTTTTAGTTTTAAAGGAGCCCATGATGGAGGCCTTTGCTAATGGACAGAATCTCCCTGCCGAATTCAACTTGAAGCTAATGCAGCTTTGGGTATTTTGTTTAAAATGTTTGTTTCGCTTCTGCTTTAAAATAAGCCTGAGACTTGCTCATAAAACTCCTTCGACTGACAACTGTTTTGCATTCATGATCCTTTTTTTCTCTGGGGAAGGAGGAGGTGATGGTTTTGAATGAAAGCCCAGCTGCCTGATGCTCCCCCATATAAAGGCTGCGGCCCTGGAGTGTCTCCAGCCTAATCTATCGGTTGACCTCCACGAAGTCCTTGGGGCTTCATCACTCATTCATTCGGCTCTGAGCTGCACGGATCTGACTGGGGCTCGGCTGAAGGGAGCACCTGAGAGCTATTATTGGCTGATGGCAGCATGCTGGACACTCTCTGCACCTCCCCCCATCCCAGGCCCGTGTCCTGAACCCGGTCAGGGCTCTATAAATGTTCACTGCTACCGTCTCCGATGCTGCCTTCAGGGTCGGGAACTTGAATCACATGTGGGAAAGGATTTGGACCCAGATGTTCCCTACGCTCAGGTGCCAGAGTCGCCCATGGAGGGCGCAGAAACGGACACCTGGAGTTCTCAGCAACTATTTGGGGTGAGTAAGCCCAGGCAGGTGGGTTGGTCTGTGTCTTTGTCTTGCTACAGCAGGAAGAGCAGGGTCTAGGGATAACCTCTAACGTATCACATCAAAGGAAAGCATGAATTTCATGGGCGGAGGCATTTTGATCAACACTCAGAAAAAGGCATTTGGAAGGTGGATATCATTCAGGGTCAGCTGATTATATTTAACCAGGAGGGTGGACAGTAGCAAGAAGGAAGAGTAGCTCATGAGCCACCAACTGACAGATAGTGGCTGTCAAATGTTCTTTATCTAAATTGTTCCTTAAAATGTGAATTTACAGTGGTCTAAATAATTAAAGCAGCCCAGCCGGTGTGGCTCAGTGGTTGTGTGTCATCCCATGAACCAGGAGGTCACGGTTCGATTCCCAGTCAGGGGGCATGCAGGAGGCAGCCCATTGATGTTTCTCTCTCATCGATGTTTCTATCTCTCCCTCTTCCTTCCTCTCTCTGAAATCAATAAAAATATATTTAAAAAAATAATTAAAGCAAATGACCAAATAGGTCCTCTTCGCCCCCGCTCCCCTCCAGCCCTAGGAATTTACCTGGCTGAGGAAGGCACAGTAAATTTGCTTTCATCCAAGACACCCCTTGTCATTCAGGCTGATTCTCAAAGTCAGTCTCCAGGCCATTTCCTAGCCTGCCCTTGAGCGCATCCCAGCTTCCAGTTGGGCCCTAAACCGAGTGACCCCGCAGGGTGGGTGCTCCAGACGCGGAAGAACGGGGAGAGTCCGACCCCGCGCAGCAACCTCACCAGTGCTGAAACTCGGAGCTGTCAGCAGCCCGGTGTCCGATAAGCTTGCCTGGACATCAGTTAGCTGTGAAATCACATTCTGATGCATTAAGTAAAAAATGAATCACAAACATGTGGAATACATTTTCTTCGCTGCGCTCGAGATTTAAAATTTACAAGGAAGACTATTTGGCCACATTTGCCAAATCCAAGAAGCATTTGAAAGCGAGCCAAGGAAAGATGTTTTATGGAGACCGGCTGGGTTTGCTCAGCGTTGCTCATAAAGAAATCACGCCAGCCTTGACTCGCTCCCTGAGCCCCCGGGGACACCTCCTTGGGAATGGATGACTAAGAGAATTCTGTCATTCCCCCGCCTACCGGGTCCAAAGGCCAGGAAGATGCCCCTCATGTCCATGAGCTCGTTGTCGTATCCGTGCCAGCCACGCTGCCAGCCCTCCCGCTTGCCGGTGCTGTTCATCCAAAACGGAAGCAGCTCTCGACTCTGAAAGCAAGCAAGAAGGTCACAGCCCACTGGGTCCCGACATTCGTGACCAGCGAGCATCTGGTCCAAACCACCGCCCGGTGTGGGGACTTCCTCCTCAGCATCGGGGTCACCCATCGGGGTCACGTCCTACCGCAGGGAGCTCAGACCCTGGGAGGCAGCCGGTTGCATGGCCAGAGAGCCCTGGTTATGCAGGTATTTTCTTACTTAGAGCTGAACTGGGCCTTGGAATGACTTTTAGAACCACTAAAGGGGCATGTTTGTGACAGAGGGGATGATGCAATGTTTCTGTGGCACAATAAATATATTTGGCCTTTGTCCCTGGTTCCTGGCAGAGAGCTCCTAAAACCCTTGGAATTTCCTGAGTGACAGGAGGGCTTTTGGTTGTTCATAAGGAGCCCCTTTCTCCCACACCTGGGTTCATGCTAACGGGGTGACTTTGGGGGAGGGACTAGATAGCTTCCGGAGGAGGCCAGTCACAGGAGGGACCAACCACGTGACGAGAGGGTTAGAACTTGCAGCCCTTCCTCTGACCTCTAAGGCTGAGCTCAGTCACGTGGCCACTGAGTTAACCACGCAGGCCTCCACAGCGAAACCCTGTTCAAAACCCTGGAACCCCACGGCCAGGGAACATATTGGTGCGCTGGGAGGGTTCACCCAAAAGGAATGTACATGCTCTGTGCACACCCCCCACCCCCAAGCATCTCTTCCATGCGGCTGTTCCTGAGTTGTGTCCTTTATACAAAACTGTAGTCATAAGTATAGCAACTTTCTGAGATTCATTTCAGTGAATTATCGAAACTGAAGGGGGTTGTGAGAACCTTCAAACTGTAGCCAAGTCCAATACAAGTGTGGGTAGGCTCGGGACCCCAGACTGTGGCCGCCATCTGAAGGGGGGTGGTCTTGTGGGACTGAGCCCCTTAACGTGTGAGGGCGGCTCTTAACTCGGGATAGTTCGTGTCAGCATTGAATTGAATTGCAGGACACCCAATTGCTGTCAGAATTACTGGACAACACAGCATCTAATCTAATCATCTAGCAAAGCCCTTGAGGCCCGGAGGTGGTCCCGTCCTTCCTTTCTTCTGGCTCCACCCTCCGGGGCAGCTCAGAATAAGTTCGGCCCCTGCTCTCCAGTCAGTCAAACGTTTGAAGACGGCACTCAAGTTTCTCCTCTCCAGGTCTTGTAAATCTTCATTTCCTTCGACCGCTCTTTATTTGGGGTGAACCGTCACGTCCCTGAAGCCCTCCTTCCTTCAGAACTACATTTTCTTCCAGACTGCAGGCGCTTCCTAGTGAGACAAAGGCTTCGAGGTGAGTTCTGAGGAGGCCGTAGCCAGGCGGGCACACCGAGCCCTGCGTGGCAGGCTAAGCATTCGTTCCTGACGGCCAGTCATCCTCTTACTAAGCGGGTGTCATATTGCAAATATCTCAAGTGCTGGAGGTAGAGGTGGCTGGTCGTGATGAATGACTAGAAGCAAAATCACTAGTCCCAGCAATCCACAGACAGGCTGGCTCCCAAGGCTTGTCATAGTCCCATGTGGTCAGTGTGCCCTGCAGTTCACCCAGCGCCGACGCTGACATTCGCTGAATCGTCACAACATCCCAGGATGGATGACGTTTCCTTACTTTGCAGTTGAAGAAACCAAGGCACAGCTGTTGAGAGGCAGGGCTGGGATTGAGACCCAGGCCACCTGTCTCCCTGCCCTTACCCACCTATCACTAACCATAGCCAGAGGTCCCTGCAGGGCTCCTGTCGGCACTGGGCGGTGAGGCCCCTCCCTGTCCCTTACCTCTTCACTCCCTGAGTGCTGGCCAGTTATTAAGTACAGAGAAGATGCCCAGCTGGCGTGGCTCAGTGGTTAAGTCAACTCATGAACTAGGAGATCACGGCTTGATTCCCAGTCAGGGCGCATGCCGTGTTGTAGGCTCAACCCCCAGGAGGGGGTGTGCAAGAGGCAGCTGACCAATGACTCTCTCTCACCATTGATGCTTCTGTCTCTCTCTCCTTCTCCCTTCCTCTCTCTAAAAGCAATAAAAACATTTTTTTAAAAGTATAGAGAAGAGATTTTGGAATTGGGTGGGCGTGGGGTTAAATTCCAGCTGGCCGCTTTCTAGCCCTCCGACCTTCAGTTTCCCTGCAGGGTGTGATCACACCTGCCTCGAAGAGTTTTCGGAGGATGACACGACTGCTCACTCAGTGCCTGACACACAGTAGGTGCTCAGGGAATGGCTGCAGACGGTCCCCAGCGGCACGGGCCGTGGGGCAAGGTGCCCTGGCCGTGCGCAGCGGGCAGTGACGGTTGCGAGGGCTGAACTCTCCTCCGCTCATTTAGCTGTCATATCGCATCGCGCACCCATCACGTCTCAGCCCGTAAATCGCTCCCTGGCACGACCGCCTGCCAGGTCGCGCTATTTCATTGACGCTCCGTCTCCTGAGCTTCCATCACTCTGTGCCCCTCCTCCTCCGGCTGTAGCTCGTATTTTCCATGGGAATGTTTTTATTAACTCACTGCATTTCTAACTTGTTTTACTGTTTTTGTTCTTTATCTGTCTGATCTTTATCTGTCTGATGATCACGGCGCATCCCAGTTTAGCTTCACCGGCTAATTTACGGCAATGCTGCCCCCTTGCAGTCAGGAGGCAGTGAATCCTGAAGTGCCAGGTAGGACACTGTGTTCCCAACGACTTCACTAATTAGGAACCCTGTAGGACACGTGCGCCCTGCGACAGAGGGACAGGTGAAAGGGAGATGAAGACCAATTACCTGATTTAAAAATTCCAGTTAAATCCCACAAATACAAACACACAGCAATGGAAATCTCAGCCCTGAAGGCAACTAGGGGCTGTCTGATCGCAGGGAAACCCACAAGTTTTTATGAAAGTGACAAGCAGCTCCAATGAAACGATTGTTCTCACTGATTTTCAAAAGTAATAGTAACCGGGCTGCTTATGTGAGAAGCTGTTGCGTCTAAGTGACCGAATGGAACGTGTCGTGTACGGGGCATTGAATGACTGCTCCTTCTTACCCACGGAGCAGCTCTCACCAGCGTCACTCTGTCCCCACTTTCCCGCCCGCCCCCCGGGCTTGCGTATGAGGCGATGCTGGTGAGGTGTGGCTTACAAACAGCTTCCAGAGTGAGAATCCCCAGGCTGCCGGTCCTCCGGCTCCTGGTTGAGGAGCCTGACCCCATCCTGACCCCATCTAGCGACAGCCTGGGGAGGTGCCCAGGCCCTCCAGACCCTCCAGGTTTGCAGATTTGGCCAAAGGTGAGGCAGGGCAGAGGAGGTGTGTGTGTGTGGATGTGTGTGTGTGGTGTGTGTGAGTTTGTGTGTGTGTGTGTGTGTGTGTATGTGGGTGTGTGTGAATGTGGTCTGTGTGAGTGTGTGTGTGGATGTGGGTGTGTGAGTGTGGTGTGAGTGTGTGGATGTGTGTGAGTGTGGTGTGAGTGAATGTGGTGTGAGTGTGTGTGTGTGGATATGGGTGAGTGTGGTGTGTGTGATTGGGGGGGGGTGTGAGTGAGTGCATGTAGCCGTGGGGGACCACGGAGGCCACACAGGAAGCTCTTAAAAGGCCAATGGTTGGGCACGCGGTGCCCAGGATCAGGCCCTGGGGAAGGGGGTTGGTGGGAAGGGCTGCCCAAGAGGCCCTGAGAGGCAGGGAGGCCTGTGCAAGCCCACATGGGAAGAGCCTCAGACAAAAGCAGCCATCAGAGTGAGGCTGCTGGAAGGCGTGAGAGCAACCGAATTTTCTGCTCTGAGGTGCTTACCTGAGGTCATGCCAGTCAGGTAGGGTGACCAGCCATCCCGCAATCCAGTCAGATTAAAATAACTAAAATGTGAACACCTATCTAGGTATGGGAGGGGCCTATTTTATTCTCCTAGGACCCGGTTATAACAGGAGCCTCCCAGGTCCTGAAAATGCAATAAATTTCCGACATCATCTCAGGCTAGAAAAGGTGCTCAGTGACACGTGAGTCGGGGGTGGGTTCCATTAAAACTCTGTGGAAGTGACGACAGTGGGGCCGCTCTCGTGGTTTCGCTGCGAGGGTTCGGGTGGAGCTGTGGTTTCTGTCACAGACCACTGTTTCTCAGAGTTTGTGGCATCTCTATTCCAAATGCGCCTCCCACGAGGCGTCCTGTTGGCATGACTCCTGGGGCCCTGTGGGCCGGCGGTTACGAGCCTTAAGATGTGTGTCTGCCACACGCCACTGCAGAGACGTCCCTCTAACAGTTGCTCTCTCCCTGTCCTAGAAGGCTCCCTGTTTCTAAAACAGAGTTTAATTGCATGGGCCTCTGGCCCCTGTCTGACCCTGGGCAGCCCTTCGCCACACACAGCCTAACCCTGCGGATGAAAAACGCCAGACGGCGAAGTCAGCGGGATCAGGAGAAACAGAGCTCCTTGGGGTGGAGAGGCGTGTTGGGGGACGGCACCGAGTGAATGGGCTTTTCTTTTCTTTTTTCCAGGATCGTGTTTATTGGAGTGTGCCGGGGTGAGGAGGGAATGCTTGTGTTCTCAGACGGCGTGTGCAGACGACCCTAATCACCGCCAGGAAGCAGCAGCTCCCAGCTCTCAACACCCAGCTTCCTGAGCTCTGCTAGCCAGGCCCGGACAACGCCACTCCGGCCGCCACTAACACTAAGGAGCCGGGCTGCCCAGCTTGTCTTGATTTGCCCAAATACCCTGGGCCCAGGCCTAACTGCCATTCATCCTCAGGCCTTAGAATCGAAGCTGGCACTTCATATCCTTTGCCAGTTTTCAAAGTCAATCTTTCCTCCGGAGACACATATCGCCTCCCTCAGTTCACTGCATTCCAACGATGAGATACCACGTTTGACCATCTTTCGCCAGGTCTGGCCACATCCGGCCACCTTTCTGAGCCCGGTGGCATGAGGTGGACGCTGTCCAGAAGAGGCCACAGGAATTAGCCCTGGCAGCTGAAAGGGTCTAGAGAGAGCGGACGCATCCTGCCCTTGGGCTCCAGCTGTGGGCTAGTGGAAGCCAGGAGAATTTCCATTAGTGGTTTCAGTGCCTTCTCCCCGTTGAAATCTCTTCTAGGGCTACTAATAATTATCTCAAGTTAAAGGCCTGACTTAGCTTTCCTCTCTGTTTATCTGATTACTGATTCACAAACCTACCAAGTGAACAATTTGTCAAACCAAGAATCAGTTGTATCCATATTTAAGTCGTTTCATTCGTAGTCCACGAATATGTACGGAGCCTTGGCCATGTCCTAGTCTCCATGGAGGAAAATAAAGGTCAAGATGCTACAGACCTGACCTCCAGGAACTTCTACCCCAGGAAGAAAGAGTCTAGAACGTGTATGGAGCCTTGGCCATGTGCTAGTTGCTATTGTTATTGTTGACCAAGTTTTTTTGGGGGGAAAAATTTCTTGATAGATTCATTATCCACAAAATGTAAAATAACTTGATACACATGTCATGAAAACTTTGGGGGGGAGGCTCATTCTAAAGTTTCTAATGAGCCATGCTAAATGAAGATGAGTTTTACAGTATTCATTATTACTAATTAAGGGTGTAAGGAATAACACTGATAATCTCTGTATTTAGTGGGTGAGTAAGAAATATAAGACGTTTGGAGGAACCACCTCAGTTCCTCAGCTCTGTCTTTCTCACGAATTCTGAGTTATATCATCCTGAAGGTTATGGATCATGATGCTCCCCCCTTAAAGTTCTCTAAGGCTCTCCACGCACTGAAGATAAAACACCGTCTTTCTCCCAGCGGGGGGGGGATCGTGCCCCTGCTCACTAGACAGGCTTGTCCACGCCACTTTCCTCTCCTCACAATTGGTTGTGTGGTCCATTCCGTCAGTTCCTCTCGTTCTCGAAGCTCTTTCTTTCCTGCCTCAGATTCTTCAAGCTTCCCACTCCTTGGCCTGGAAAGCAGCATCCCCTCCAACCTACCCCTGTCTGTCTAACTGATGACCACTCATCCTTCAGGTTTCCAACTCAAGGTCACCCTCTCAGAGGGACCTTCCGCCCATCATTTAACATGGGAGCCCTCTCCTCCCAGTCAGCCTCTTTCATAATACTCATTTGTAACTGCACACTTCTGTTTGTGTGGCAGGCCTGTTTATTTAATATTTGGCTCCTTCCCTAGGCTTCAAGCTCCATGAGGGCAGGAGCTCCCAGGGGCTCCTTACTCTAATTGGAATTAGAACTTTGCTGGGTTACGTGTAGTAGGCACTCACCAGATACTTGCTGAATTTGGTCATTGATTTTTAGGTGGTACGTGGATTTTACAGTGGGGGAGAGTGTACTCGAGTCTGGCGGGAGCTACCCACCTGTTTCTCCATCTACATTTTGCTGGGCTTCTCCTGACTATCCCATATGCCGAGGATTTAGCATCACTGAACCTGCTTCCTGAGGGACCTTGGTCAACCTTAGACACTGTGATAGCCAATCTGCCCCAGCCCCTTTCACTTAAGTGCAAACAAAATCTTTTTAGTGTAAAAGCTGAGTAATTCTGTATCTTTGGTTGTTTGATAGAATTTGTCTAATGAATAAACTGTCATATATTTTATAATTACCTCAGTTATGAACCATCCTTCATCAGCCACTAAGGTCAAAGGAGAGACGAATTTCCCCTTCTTGTAGTAGAACCTGCTTGGTATGGCTTCTTTCTCGTAGACAGTCATGTGCTCCACTGTTCTCAATTTGTTATATATCTGCAAAGAAAACCAGGAGTGATGGGTGTTGCATTCTCTTTTTCAAATGTATGTGAATAGTCACTGGACCTGAAGGAGAGGGAGGACTTAATAAGACTAAAGAAAGAAATTACCAAAACAACTGAAAGATTTGACTATGTAGAAATGAGAAACGTTTGTATGTCTCAGCAATCAAGGTGGCTTTATCTAGTAAGGCTGAAGATCCACATGCCCCATGACCTAACAAGATAACCCCTAGTTAATCCATGTGCACACCTGCAGACATGCAGAGGGATATATACTGCAAGCTGGACAGCCCCAAACCCAGCAACAGTGGGAGGGATGAATGAATCATGGTGTGTCTTGGCAGTGGAATACTATACAGCAACGAAGAGGAATGCATTAGAGCTACACAGAACACCTGAAAGAATCTTGGGGATTTCAGTTTGAGACCAAAAAAGAGCAAGTTGCAGAAAAATACAGACAAGAGTTTTCCTATTATATAAAGCTCAAATTACTACAAAAACTAATGACCATATATGATAAAACTATGAAGAGAATTAGGGAAATGATAGCTTGAAATTTAGGACACTGGTTTTCTCTAAGGGGGCTGCAAAGGCTATGGGGTCTGAGAAGGGCACACAGGCATTACCACAGGTAATGGTAATGTCCCATTTCTTAAATGTTGATTGAATATAAGATGACATCGGAACATTTTCCTTTGGACCTTACACATATTTTATAATGATTTTTTGGTATCTACTAAATGATAAATGAACAAATTATAAAAACTTATGTCAAAAATGCTAAAATAAAATTAAAGAGAAAATGAGAAATTGGATACCATCAAGATCAAAGAAATAGGATTTGTTCTTTGACTTGACTTAGAGCGTGTCCTACCTACACTCAAATCTTAAAAGTACCAGTTGTTTGCCACTAATTACACTGCTTGTTTCACGATGACTATGTAAACTCTGTACACGTTTCCAATATTTAGCAGCAGCTTAAATGTCTGTTAATATTAAAGTCCACTGGCTGAGGTTGACTTGCTGGCCTTTAGTCAGCAATTCTTCCTGGGTATTGCTGAATATAAATTTGAGCTTCTCCACTCAACTCTGAAATTAATTAGTCCTCAGGCTGTTTCGTAGAGGGTTTTGGATGGCCCATGAGTTATGATTTCCGACTTAAGAAAATCCACACTTTTTAAGGGAAGTAGGATGCATTTGCAGGAAGCTTTTGGAGAAGTGAAAACTCTGACAACACATCACAGATTTCACAAACTGTTGTGTCCGTCACATGACAAAACTGTCACCCAAACATAGCCCCCACTTTGGAATAATCTACCAACTGCTTCAGGCGGCTTGCGACTGCCTGACTTAAACACACGTTGGAAGAAGCGCTCGCTCCCTGGCTTGCAAGCTGGTGATGCTCCAGCCTTCTGGAAACTGTGCCCTCCTAAGTGCCAGCTTGGAGATGCGGACTGACTTCCTTGCCCAGAAAACAGAACTTCACAAGAAGCACTTACAGGGGGCCTGCCAGTGTGTAGGATATCCTTCCCATCTCATAGTTCGGGAGTTCATGGGGGTGCTGTGCAAACACAATTAGCATCTCCATTCCTGAAAAGAAAGGGATGTCCACCGGGGAATGGGACAAAGCTGGGGGAGACTGGAATTGGTGGCAACTGTGTCCCTGAACCCCAAACAGACAGCTCTTGGACTCTTACATGGGAGCAGGCAGGGTGGGGAAAAGAGTCTCCGGGGCTAAAAAGACTGCAGTCCACCCTGGTGCTCCATCAGTACCAACAACCTTCCATCACCAATCGGCATCCCTGTTTCACTGCTGTGAGGATGGGTGGAGGTCCTAGGCCCACCCAAGTCCTGTTCCTGGCACCCCCTTGCTTCGTACCTCCACAGGCAACGGTCTGCCCCCACCCCAAGGAAAACACTTGTCCTGGTCCAAAGCAATTTCCTCTGGGAGTGAACAGAAGCCCCAAAGCTGATACTGAGAGGCGGCTAGGCCACATGGGGCCAAGCAGTCGCCCAAAGGTGCCACTTGTTCCTCCTCATTTCCTCAGGGTGGCTCACCAAGTTCTGCCAGATATAATTAGTGTTTGGAGAGAAGGGTAAGGAGAGGCCTAGCTATCTCGGGGTGCTGAGTCCCCGGAGGGCAGTGACGGGGGCGAGCCTGATCCCACATCTGCACATTGTGGGAGCTCAACCACACCTTCTTGGGACCATCCGCCTTTGGTGGTGATAATTATAGTGACACATACATCGTCCTTGCAGCTGCGCAGCGTGCTTGTCTGCTTTATGGCAGCCCGGGACGGGAGCTGCGGTGACGCGGACGGAGAAGCGTCGGCGGGGCCCGGTTGGGAAGCGGCTGTCATGACAGAGCTGGGGGCGGAACCCCAGCAGCGCGGGTCCTGAGCTCAGGAGCTGACCCGCAGCTCACACGGCCTCAGCCGTTCATTCGTCACCGTCTTTTCTCCAGTTCCCTGGTGAACACAGATCAGATGGCGGCTGATTCCAGAGAAGGAGCCGTGTCTGCCTCCCAGATTGCCTGAGATGGGCTGCCCTTGGGACGATAATAAAACAGCCCCGCTAAGGGCTAAGCACTTCACATGTGAAGCACTGCACACCCTTTATCTCCCTCAGTTTCCACTAAAATTCAGTGCGGTAGACACCAGCATGCCCATTGTAGAGAAGAGAAAACAGAGACCTCGGAGGATGGAACCTTGACGGAGGCCACCAGCGGCTACAGGACAAAGTGGTGGCAACTGAGGACATGCTCTGCTCCTCCCCCCAGTCCTCCTCCCCCATCCCGGTGCCTCTTGCCTCGGAGTGTTTGCCAGGGGCCGGCCAGAGGCTCACAACCGGCCCTCGGTCCTTCACTTGCTGCAGGTCACGCAGGCTGATGTGCTTATTCAGCTCGATCACTTTGTCCATCCAGAAGATGTCGGTCATCCCGTGATCGGAGAAGATGATGACGTTGAGTTTGTCCTGCAGCTCCCGCTCCTGGGGGTGGACAAAGGCGGTCAGCGCAGCTCTGGGGTGGGGGGGGAGGGAAGGAGGGAGAGGGAAACACTCTTGAAAGAAGTCTTGGAAAGAGGTGTTTTAAACTATATGTCATAGGAGAAAGGACACTTAACAAATTCTGAATTTAATCATCTACTCCTCCTGATGACAGTTCAGTCTCAGCAGAAGCACTCTGGGGAGGGGAGCGGGGCAGCCCGGTCCCCATGCCAACAGTGCTCAAGACAACACACACGGGCCTTTCGCCCTCACTGTTGTCACCTCGGGCTCTCTCAACAAACTGACGTGGTAAAATGAAAACTGTCTCTCATCCATTTCACAGATGTGAAAAATAAAGCCCAGGAAAGTTTTATTTAATTTTTATTTAATTACTTTAAAAATATATCTTTATTGATTTCAGAGAGAGAGAGAGAGAGGTAGAAACATCAATGATGAGAGTCATTGATTGGCTGCCTCCTGCACACCCCAGACTGGGGATGGAGCCCAAAACCCAGGCATGTGCCCTGACCAGGAATCGAACCCTGATCTCCTGGATCCTAGGTCAATGCTGAGCCACGCCTGGCCATGCGAGCCCAGGAAAGTTTTTAAAAATAACACCTTGCTTACAGTCACTCAGCCAGGATGTGGCAGGATGAGGGACTGAGCCCAGCCTGGCTCCCATGCCCATGCCAAGCTGGCTTCCAAAGTTACTAGGTTTGGTACAGAACCAGGCCGTTTCTGTACCAACAGATCTGAGTAATTTCAGATGCTGGTCTGAGTAATTTCCTGCCCACTGGTCTGGCTGTAAAACAAGGGGTCTCTTGGTACCCGAAGAGGCCTGTGTGAAGGAAGGAGACCCATCATGGCCTTGTGCTGGCCTCGTCAGCTGTCAATAGTGGGAGAGAAGATGCAGAGGGGCGTGTCAGTCAAAGGGACAGAAAGAGAGTGACAAGAGGGAAGATTAGCCCAGTTGTCCTTATTCTCGGTCACCTGAATCCACTGGGTCATGTACTTGAAGACGGTGTCCACAGCCTTCAGGGCGTCTTTCCTCTGAGGCGACGAGGGGCCGTAGTGGTGGCCTTCCACGTCGATGCGCTCGTAGTATATGGCCGCCAGGTCCGCCCGGCCGCTTCTGGGGGAGCAGGGGAGAGAGTCACGCCTGAGAGAGGCCCGCCAGCCCTCTCCACTCTCCCCAGCAGTCAGACCCCGGCAAGGCATCGGCAGCCCAAACCCTGCCCTGTGGGCCAGGCAAAGCTGATGCCTTAAAATGAACAAGGTGATTCAGGGCCGTGTGGGTACTTGAAATATTGGGGAACCACTCTGTAAAGTACATGATTGCTTAACCATGATGCTGTACACCTGAAACTAATACAGAATAATATTGAATATAAAAATTAAGTAAAAAGATACAGAATATATGTAAAAACATGAACAGGGTGGGATCTGCAAGGGAGGGGCAGGAATATAGCACTAAGAGGTGGCAGTCCTGAGCACCTTGGTGACAACAGTCAGCACGTTCGAGGGTCACCTCATCTCTGGGCTCATGTGGCATTGCTCATCATGTCCCAAGGCTTAGAAGATGTGGTAACAGGCAGGGGACTCTCTGATAGCTCCACACTCACCACCTGCTGTCTTCGGGAGATCAGAAAAACTAGAAGCAGTCATTTAAATAATGACCCTTTCATTGTTGCTGGACTTTGGGGAAGCCTCTAAATAAACACCAGGCTGTGGGTTTCACTGACTGGCAAGAACAAGCTTCACCTTGGCGAACTTCTGGGAGGCAAGCAGGTTAGTGTTCAGGGACTGACATCAGTAGGCATCCCCAGGACCCTTGTTCTATGGGGACAGATGAAGGATCAGCTCCAATGTGGATATAGAGTGAATTCCAGCAGTGACCACATTTCTGTGGGTCCCAGGAAGCCCCTGGTTCTGGAAAAACACCCCATCTTGGCCAGAGTACTGGGGTGAAATTGAAGCTATTTATCCCTCGATGCTGGGCTGGGAATGACCAGGAACTGGTGATGTCAATTGGAATAGGAGGCTCATGGAGTCAGGGAGGCAAGAAAAAGGCCTTCACACCAGGACCTGATACAGCGATCAACTTCTCCCTGCCCTGGCCCCAGCCAATCAGTAGAGCTCACAACCCCAACTCCTTCAGCGACCCTGATTAATGATTTTTCCCCTAAACCCACCCCCTGGAAGCCATCAGGGAGCCAGGTCTTTGAGCACTAGTTCACCTGTGCTCCGGGCTTAGCACCATTCTCTCAGCTAATAAACCCTTAATTTTATGGCTGCAAACTCCTGCTCACGTTTGATTGGGCTTTGATGCAAGCAGGTAAATGGACCCCTTTAGTTCACTAACAGTATCTTTCTTCCTTGTGGTTGTGCTTGCCAGGAGCCCACCCTTTAATGATGCTGTGATCTTCTGCCTGCCCTGAGCTNTGGGCCTTTAGTTCACTAACAGTATCTTTCTTCCTTGTGGTTGTGCTTGCCAGGAGCCCACCCTTTAATGATGCTGTGATCTTCTGCCTGCCCTGAGCTGTGCTGCGCTGTCCTGAGGACACATTGCTTTCAAGGCCAGAGAAATTGCTAGTCAAATGTTCTTTTCTCTATTTATTTATTTTTAAATTTTTTATAGACTTTAGAGAGAGAGGAGAGAGGGAGAGAAACACATTGACTTGTTCTTCCACTCTTTGATTCTTGTATGTGCCCCAACCAGAGATTGAACCCGCAACCCTAGCACATCGGGACAACCCTCTAACCAACTGAGCTACCCGGCCAGGGCCATGTTTCTCTTTTTAGAACAAAACAAATTGTCCCTTCTTTATAAATGCCAAGACCACTGTCCTACACAATGGGGATTGGGTTAGGTTGTTATTTAGGTGTTTCTCACAAATGACATTATCGTTGTTCATACTCGCTAATGTGTGAATGACATCAGCATCTAAGACAGCAGAGAACAAAAGTCGCCACATGATCTCCAAGTGTGTAGGCAGAGGGTGAATGTTCTTGGGTAGTGGCATTTCATATTCCTAAATTTATTTTTGAGGCCCAAGGCCATTACACTGATGGGTGATGGCGCTTCCTCCACCGCTGAGTTTGAACATATGGAACCTTCCAGAAAAGTTATTCCCTTATATAAGCCTCAGCACGTCTGTGTAGCATCCCAGATGTGCGATGCGCACAGTGTTCCCTGTGTTCAGGCGTGCACACTTCCAGGGTGGGGCTTGTACGTGGGGAACATTCCACAGACCAGGTTACTGTCGCCGTCAAGTTCAGTGAGACGCTGTCGGGTCATTTCGTCTTAGACACCTCGCTCTACCACAGCAGCCGCTGGGCTGGCTTCTTTTAGGCTGTTTAGCATGTTCACAAACCTCCATGTGATCAGAAAGCCAGAAATTCTCCCAGATGTACCTGATGGCTCTGTGTCAGGAAGCTGTCAAGTCCAGATGCCGGCAACACTGGATTTGGGATGCTTGCGAGTCGGGGATTTGCACACGTGCCTTTTGTGAAAGGCCTCGATGTTGGAGTCTCTCTGATTCATTAGGGACCTGCGTCTTCAAGGGCTGAGAGCTCTCGCCTGTTTGGAGTTTAGCTGACAAATTCTTGGTCGCCAGCTGTTTCCCACATGGGCCTGGTCTCCATCACAGGTCAGCTCATTTGTAACGGGGTGGTTGGGTGAGGAGCGATGGGTGGAAATGTCTGCAGGTCTGTTATTGGCTATTTATGGCTTTCAGGTCCAGGAACCAAGCCAGAAGGACATGTGGCCATCAGCCCAGTTACCTGAGAGCTGCAAGGGGCCCCTGGTCCTGGGGTTTCAGGGACACTCAGGTCTCCCATCACCTCAGGATTCTGTTCAGGTTTCTTTTCAATGTAAAAAGTTCATAGTGTCACATCCATTTTCCTTACTGAAGCAGGATAGAAAGAGAGAATTGCGGAGAAAGACGTGGAGGCAATTTAAAGGAATGGTGGAAATTACTGATGTTAACAAAAACAATCCAAAACTTAGAAATAAGGCCAAAAAAATAATCGCCTGTCTTTTCAGGGTGGTACAAGAGCAGCATCCAATAAGCTTGCTTGCGGGTCACCAGGCTTGACTACCGATTAGAGCCCAGACTCCATTAGCTCAGCTGTTAACCTGCAGGAAGCTAACAAGATGAAATTACTTCTGTCTGATCGAGACAGCCGCTCCACAGATTACGGATTGATTACCCTCTGAGTCCTGAAGCACTTCTGCATCTTAGGATAATTGTACCCCATCATTCTCTACCAGCCTTTTTCTGTGCCTGTCTTTCTCACATTCCCTTTAACCAGCTTGTCATCTCCTGATTCCCTCAGAAGTAAATTAATTTGAAATGTTGCCTAATGCTCCCATACTTCTGTAGTGAGCACAGGACAAAGTTTTAATTATAAAAATTATACTTTGACAGGGCATGAGAACTAGGCTCGTCTGGGTTCAAATTCTGGCTTCTCTTCTTACTCACCTGGAGTTCTCCAAATACCCCTAAGCTTCCATTTCCCGCCTGAAAAACCTCCTCAAAAGGCTACACTGGGTGTTTAATGAGCTGGTGTTTGTAAAGTGCTTGACACACAGTAAAAGGGAGGCGAAGGAAATAAAACACCCCCCCACTTCTCTTTTCTATGCAGACATGACTCTGAGTGGCTTTGCCCTGTGTGCCAAGCAGGGGAGGGACACTTGTGAGTCTCTGGGTGGTGTCTAGCGGGAGCCCATTCAGCTGTCAGGACAAGATGGATGCGAAAAAGATCACACTGCCAACTGGTGTTGCGTTATTTGGAGGTGTTTGTGTGACAACTCCGTTCCTAATCTCGTATTTGGCCAGGCGACAGCTGTAAGGATGGCTGGCATTTGCATATGTCGGGAAAGGCCTCGTGCGGGCATAGGCCCATCTGAGAGCTCCAGCTCCGCTCGCCCGCTACTCCTGCTGCACCTTCTGCTGTGTTTGCACAAACTAGGCTGCAGCACCAGTTCCTGGTCATCGTGGGTGTGGTTTTCCAGCGCTTGTGGGCAAGAAAAAGACAGCGGAGTAAGCGGGAGGCAGTGCCGCATAACACACCCGAGTTACAAACCATTTGGAGGAGAATATTTACTTGAAGGTTACTTCCTCCAGACCCTGTCCCTTCCCTCCACCCCCACCCCCCATTACTCTAAACTTTTAATTTGTTCCTCCTTGTGGAGAGCAGAGTTAGTCATGCTAACTCTCAAATTCAAGATGGAGTCAGTCATGCTAACTGCTCTCCACACTTCTCAATTTTTGAGTATTTTAAACCTATTTTCTCTCCAACCTGTTGATCAGAGCCTGAACCTTCATGTGCCCGGAGGCCCCTCTTGATAGGTTTTCATGGAAGTGGAAGCATTCTAAGAAGCAGCAAAGCCAAGGCTATTGTTTTCTCCTTTCACAGCTCTGGGGGGGTGACTGCTGCTCCCCACGATGGCTGGGGAGGTGGTGGCACAAATGGGATTCATACTCGGTCAACTCTATCTTAGTTACGGATCCATTCGCGTGGCCAGGGCTAGCGATCTGAACCCCATGCCTATGGTGTGATGGCTCTCAGGATCTGCCCTGCTTGAAGCCGAGCTCTTTCTCTTGGGAAGATGAAGGTCCTTCCATGGTCTCCACACTCTGATTACTATGTGTCTTCTGCCTTCACCCCACTCAGGAGACCCATTCAGTAGACATGCTGACCTCATGTCCAGCCCTGGAAACATCCTCAGCCGCTTGGTTGCTGATTTTTCATATAGACCCCCCCACCTGGTTAGCATCCTGACGTCACTTCCAGTGATTTCTGAGCAAGCCTATCTAAGACGATTAAGAGAGACCTCGGAGGCAGGAAGCTGACTTGAGGCTCTGTCCTGACCTGTATCATTGGTCACCTTCCCTGATAGACTCCCGTGTGCTATTCAGGACAGCATTACTCATTTCTGCATTTTCCAAACTCTGTGCTATGGATTCACGTGGGAGAAAAAAACTAAAGTTCTCTGTTCTGATATGCTAACTGCTTTGTACATTTCCAAGAAGAGGGCAGAGTTAGCCATGTCCCAAACTTGCTTCACCGCAGGTCCTCCCTTTTTGCCAAATGCTTGTTGCTATCTTCTGAGATACAAGCATTCACTAAACCACCACCTCTCTGAGACATTATTCCACCCATACCAGGCCTTCTTAATTCAGGTTAGCATTCATTATTGGTTCTGGAACTAAGGAAGAACAGTGGTGTGGCTAAGGATCTAAGACACTTACTTGAAGGAATCGAGAGCATCGCTGACTGCGTTGGCAAAGTTGATGTCCGTCGGGACACTTTTATATTCTAGGCAGTAAGTGGGTCTGACACCGAGAATCTCAACCTCACAGCCTAAGAAAGAAAAAGATGGTAAATGGTTACTTTCTTCAAAGATTGAGGTAGGGTGATGAACCTATTACAGGAAGTAAGCACTGTTAGTCAAAATAAAATGTCCATTTTCATGAAATAAAAGAACTTATTGCTGATAAGTGGCATATTTAACTGTAATTTTGTTTAACTGGAGCAGAAGTTCTCAAATATCATTCCTATGCAACCCCAGTGTCTCCTGACAGGGACTAGCAAAAATTGGTTAATAACCATCTTCCCCAATTCCCAAATTTAAAACAAAAAATTAATTAAGATGCAGAAATGTCTCAATTAAAACGTTTTTTCTATAGATTTTTTTCATCACTACTGATTCTTCTAGTGTACCTTTGCCTATTCTAGAATCAAGTATTAGGTAGTATCTGATTAATCCAGGAATAATAAAATAAGTATCCTATTAGTCTAACTGTACTTAGAGGTACTGCAATAGATTAGCAAGCCTAAGGATCACCGAGGGAAAGCAAGGACTCTGAGCCGTAACCTCGCCTCTCCAAAAATGAAGTAAAAGACTAAAAGGCATTGAGATGTTAGGAGTGGCTATGGCCTCGGCTTCTCTGCCCCAATCCCCTGGGAAGTAGAAGCAGTTACTCTGAGGGACACCCAAGCTTATCAGAACATAAGGCAGGAGGTGGATGAGCTAGTTGCAGTTCGAGTTAGTTGGGTACATTTATTGGGCACCTACTATGAACTAGTTGCTATGTTCAGACATGGTGGAAACAAATTTTATCAGTCAGGGACTGCAATCTGGAGCATCCCAGAGAAGAGTCCAATGGGAGGAGATGTACAGGAAAACAGTGCACCTACTATGTGAAGTCTAAGTGAGGTGCACACTTACTGGGTGGCGTGGGGGCTTGGAGGAGAAGCACTTCCTCCCGGAAGCCTTCCTTGAGTGCCCATGTTGGGCTCAGTCTTACAGACTGCATCTAGCCAATGTGTTGGGGGATGGGGCGGCAGTGAAGGTGGGAAATAAAGGGACATCCCAAGCAAAGAGAGCAGCAGAAGCAAAAGTTCAAAGTTAGAAACAATAAGGTGTGTGTGGAGAACTGTCAACACAATACAGTTCTAGACAAGGGGTGTCAGGAGACCAGATGGTGAGCTTTCTTGTAGCCCAGGGAAAATGATTTCCAAGGTGGAAGTGAGTAAAAGTGGGACAAGTTGGGAATGTGGAGAGAAAGGAGTGTCTCTGTCAAGAATCACATTAACCCCACTCCTGGGTACATCTGGTTACAGCTGGCAACCATCTGGCCTACGGTTGGTTACAGCTGATTTATTAGAAGGTAGGGCTGCCTCCGAGAAGCATTCCTTAATCCAGCATACCACGGCAAGCTCTGAGTGCTCCGGGGAGACGCCATCTCTCTCTGCCTGATATCTTGGGCTCAGGGAGAGCAACCTATCTCAGACAATGAAGAGAGACCTAGGAGGCAGGAAGCTGCCTTTCCAAGACCTGGTTTGTTAAGTCGGGTGAACAGGCTAGAGGCCTCAAGGGTAAATCCTGCCCGTGGGTTCTTGGAAAATACTCATCATTGGGAGAAATGCCAGTGGGATCTTGGCCAGTTATAGCACTTAAGACACCTGTGTTTTATCAGTTGAAGATTAACTTGTGAATGTATATTGTTCCCTCAAAGGTATGTACTCAGCCAGGTTTGAGGGGGCCCCACTTTGTATCCACTCTGTGCTTGGTGTCAGCAACCCGAATGCAAACAAGACACCACCTGTCCTTCCAAAGGTTAACAGCCCCACACAGTGTGGCCAGGTGTCTGCTTCTGGCACGTCTGACATATAGTTATGTGAGTTAGCAGGGAATGGAATCTTGACCATGGTTTTGCAGATAAAAGAAACTGCACACTTTTTTGTGTGTTTGTACATTAATATCACATGATAAGTGTTGGGGTCCATGTTTTCAAACTTTTTAAGGAGTTTGTTGAGGTCTGTAAAAGTTTTTGCCAAACTCTTCACTGTGCATTGTTTTGAAGTTTTTCTTTTTCTTCTGCCGTTTCTTTTTCTCACGTCTCTCCTTCAGCTCTGTGTTCCTGTCCTGGTTCCAACAACTCCTCAGTAGTCAGTTTTTCAGGAACCACCGCAAGGAGCTCCTCAGCGTGGGCCTCACCTACACCCAGATTATAGTTGTTTGCTCTCACCCACGGACCTGTTGATTTTTGCAATCTCTGCATCCTCGGCAAATCCTGTGAAGCCATAGACAAACCTCCTGAGTGTCTTCCTCCAGATGTCACTCATACACTCCTTGGTGACATCACCCCAAGTCCAAGCAAAGTTCTTGATGCAGTCACAGATGTCGTAATCCTTCCAGAACTGCATCCGTGTCTCTCCGTGTCTTCCCCAGTTGCATGGTAGCCTGCGCAAAAGTTTCCCTCAGATAATAGGCCTTAAAAGCTGCTATAACTCCTTGATCCGTTGGTTGGTTCAAAAAGGTGGTGTTTGGAGGGAGAAAATCCACCTTGGTATTGGGAAGATCACCAGAAGAGGTGGATGTCCAGGAGCTTTACCAACGATAAGTAAAACCTTGAAAGGTAGGTTATTCTCCAAACAGTACTTCTCTCCATTTCACTGGCACAGCAAATCAGGAGGGCATCTTGGAAGAGGAGCTGACTTCTTACTGCTCCTGTAAGACATTGGCAGCATGTGCGTATTGATCTGCTTACAGGCCCGAGGGTTCCCGTTGTGCCAGATCACAGAGTTTCAATTTGTATCCTGCAACACTGCCCCCAAGCAAGACTGTTATCCTGTCCTTAAAGGCCCTGAAACCTGATATTAACTTGGCCTCCTTACGGATGAAAGTCCTTTCAGGCATCCATTTCCAGATTAGGAAAGTTTTGTCAATTTGAATATTTGCTTTGGCAAGTGATTTTCCTTCGCAGTCAGCTTATCTAGAGTTTCCAAAAATTCTTCAGTTGCCTTCACACCAGTGCTCGCAGACTCACCACTCACTTTCACATTACGTAATTAATAATGATTCTTGAATCATTTAAGCCACCCAGAGCTAGCAGAAATTCAACACTGAGGTTGGGGTGAGCCTTTTCTTTCAACACGGCGATCGCTTTGCTTTGGCCATGATTGTCATGGTGCTGAGAGGAAAGTGCTCCTACTGCTGGTCTTCAATCCAGGTCGTAAGAAGTTTCTCCATGTCCCCTAAGGGCCCTTTTCCGATTGTGTGAGTCTCTTGCCCCCCACGAAGCAGACTCTTTAACCGCTCCTGTCACTTTGTTCTTGCTCTTCAAGATCATAGCTGTGGTGGAAGGACCTTGCCTCACTGAGGAGCAATAACCGTCACTGCTTTTCCACCTTCGTGTCCTTCATCATTTTTATTTCGTTTACAGGTCAGTTACTCAGCATGGCCTCTTACCAACAACATTAGGATTTTGTATACTTAGGGGCCATGATAAATAAAAAAACACAAGATTAAATCAAGCACAAGAAAAACTAATGCAATCAAGAGACTTAGTACACGAGATGTATGGGGCTGCTGCCAACGTTACATAAACTATTTTGTTAGAAAGATTTAAAGAATAACAGATATAAAAGATGTATCTATATAAAGTATAATATATAGCTACATAAACATATGGAGGATTTGAATGTTAGTGTCAATAAGCTGGATTTAGTAGATATTGAACATTTTATCTTATAGAATGTACATTATTGTCAAACATAAGAGTTGGAAAATCCGATCATATTGGCCCACAAAGAAAATCTCAACTTCCAAAACGTAAAATTTTATAGGCCATAATACATATTATCTGACCACAGGTAATAAAATTAGGAATTAATCATAACAATTAACAAAAAATAAGTCCAACTCCTTATAAATAAAAAGAGAAAACCTTTATGTAACTTGATGTAAAGAGGAAATGAAAACTTCCCTGACAGACTAGTTATTAACAACAGTGAAAATTCTGCATTTCACAACTGTATGGAATGTATTTTCAGTTAGGTCAGAAGCCAATCAGGAATGTTGCCATCCCCACTGTGATTTATTACTGTTATAGAACTTCTTATCAAGGCAATGAATAAGAAATAGAAATAAGAAATGAATGCTGGGTGTCAAGAGGTATTCATAAGAGTTCCTTTATGAGAATGTTTCAAAAACTTGACAAAACACTCATATTGCTTCATGACAAGTACAGAAACACACACACTCATAGAGGAAACAAAAATTATACCAAACTTTGAGCGTGCACGTTAATACTTTCTTGTTCCGTTCTATTCTGTTTTATGTATTTTTTAAATACTGATTAGCAACCCATAAATTGATTTCACTGTCCATGATGGATCAACACCTGTGTTTAAAGAATACCAACATAAGGTATATACCTAGGTGTGGATTCCTAAGTCATTCTTATCTGTTGAGAATAAGATTGTTAGGCAATATTCATACAATTTTATCATATGCATGCTTTGCCTAGAAAACCACTTCTAGGAGCATATTCTAAGGGAAAAAAGTTATATATAACTTTGCAGACAATGCAAACACATTTGAACACTTCAACCCAGCATTTTACATTTCTCCCACCTTTTGTGCTTCTGTAGTCATGCACTTTAATGCTCAATGAATTTTTAATCTGAAAATTATTATTACTATTATTTACTTTTACCTACATATTTACTCTTTCTGTTGTTCTTCATTCCTTCCTCCATCCCTGTGCTTTTACTGTGACTATTTTCCTTCTGTCTAAAGATTTTAGTATGTCCTTTACTCTAAACCTGCAGGCAATAAATTCAGTTTATTTTGTTTCTAGAAAAGGTCATTATTTTGCCTTCCTTTTTGAAGGATATTTTCACTGGATATAGAATTTTGGGTTGACCATTAGTTCCTCTTATCACTTTGAGGATATAATTCCATTGTCTTTCTGGATACCAATATTTCTGTTGGAAAGTCAGTTATCAGTCTTATTATCTCCCTTCTGAACTATTTTCTCTGGCTGCTTTTAAGATTTTCTCATTGTCTGTGG